GGGCGGAGCAGCCCCCAGCGGCGCCCCCCTCACAGCCGCTGGCCCCAAGTGCCTACACCCAACGCTATGTGTTGTCCGAGGACCGCAGGGAAGACCGAGGGGCAGGTGAGTTCCTTAAGCATCACCGTAGCAAGAGTCTGCTGTGTGCCTGGCACTGGTCCAAGCCCTCTAGGTGGTTCATCAGCTTCTCACTACAGCCCTGCTAGGGGGATGCTGTCTTTATCCCAATTTTAAACCTGGGGAAACTGAGGCTCAGAAAAGTGAAATGATTTGCCTCGGGTTCCACCGCTAGTGACTGTCAGAGTCAGGAACAGAACCCAGACCTAGGAGGCCTGGCCCCAGAGTCCACACCCAGAATCATCAGCTCAGGCATCATTTCTTTTCTTCTTCTTTTTTTAAATTTTGTGATAGAATCTTTTTTTAAAATATATTTTTATTGACAGAGAGGAAGAAGGGAGAGGGGGAGAGAGTTAGAAACATCAGTGATGAGAGAGAATCATTGATTGGCTGCTTCCTGGGGATCGAGCCCACAGCTCGTGCCCTTGACCGAATCCAACCAGGGACCCTTTGGTCCGCGGGCCAATGCTCTCTCCACTGAGCCAACCAGCTAGGGCCAGGCATCATTTCAATTAAACGTCTTGTAGGGTAGTGACTCTGGAGGCAGACTGCGTTCAAATCACAACTTTGCCACTCAGCTGTGTCATTTCGGGTAAGTTACTGCAGGTCAGTTTCTGCATCTGTAAAATGGGGATAAAAAGTAGTTGCTACCCAAAGGTTGCTGTAAAGATGAAGTGAATTAATATGCATAAATTGCTTAGAACATGACCTCTTGAACATTCATTATTAGCTTCTGATATAATTGCCAATGCTGTGAGGTACGGACTGCTTCACTATTTTATAAGTCAAAGTCTCACCGAGGTTTGGTAACCCCCAAGGTCATGCCGAGTTGAGGAGATGTAGAGAGCTGAGTACACGATTTTCCACTTAGCCTTGAGTCTAGGTTATTATTTCTTATACAGCTATTCCCCAGGCACTGTCCTATGGTGGGTAGTGTTGGGGACACATTGAAGGTCAGACTTTGGACTTCATCTTGAAGGCATTTGGGAGTCTTTTTTTAAATTTTATTTATTGGTTTTGAGAGAGAGAGAGAGACATTGATTTGTTGTTCCACTTATTTATGCATTCATTGGTTAATTCTTGTATGTGCCCTGACCAGGGTTTGAACCCACAACCTTGGTGTATCAAGATGGTGCTCTAACCAACTGAGCTATCTGGCCAGGGCCAGCATTTGGGAGTCTTAAGCAAGAAAGAAACACAATAATCTGGACCTTTGTTCTTAATGTGAACCAAACCTCAGTGTTTCTATCTGTGACTGAGGAATCCTCAGCCCTGCCCTCCTGGGGCTCACAGTCCAGTGGGGAAGTGTATGTGCCCTGACCAGGGTTTGAACCCACAACCTTGGTGTATCAAGATGGTGCTCTAACCAACTGAGCTATCTGGCCAGGGCCAGCATTTGGGAGTCTTAAGCAAGAAAGAAACACAATAATCTGGACCTTTGTTCTTAGTGTGAATCAAACCTCAGTGTTTCTATCTGTGATTGAGGAATCCTCAGCCCTGCCCTCCTGGGGCTCATAGTCCACTGGGGAAGACAGACTCATAGACAGTGATGACTCCCAGCTGACCTACCCTGGGAAGTCAAGGAGGGCTTCCTGGAGGAGGAGAAATCAGAGCTGAGACATAAAGTGAGGATGAAGCGCTAGTTAAGTGTTCCTGGTAGAAGGAACAGCATGTACAGTGGCTTGGAAGCAAGAAAGCTTGACCAGTTTAGAAAATTGAAGTCTCCCAGTTGGAGAGAGGAGCAGGAGAGTGGAAAGATTGAAGAAAGGAAATGTTTTGAGATGAGGTTTGAGAGGTCAGCAAAGACCAGACCCTGCAGGGCCTTTAGGCTGGATTGAGGAGTTCGAATGTTATCCTGAAGTGCTTTGGGAAGCCATGGAAGGGTTTTGAGGAAGGGAGGAACATGATCAAACAAAGCAGTTCAGGATCTGTGATTCAAAGAGGTTCCTTCACCTACCCAAGGTCACACAGCAAATAAGTAGTAGAGGTAAATCTGGAATACACATCTGTCCAACTCACAGTCCCTGCACTTAGCAATTGGGCTAGATTGCCTGGCAATAACAACAATTAGTGTGACTGAAAGTTAATGAGGATGCCAGAATTGGGTCACACATGGCTTACAAGTGAAGGCCAGGCTTTGGGTTTTATCTTTTTTTTAAATATATTTTTATTAAGTTTTTACAAAGAGGAAGGGAGAGAGATAGAGAGTTAGAAACATCGATGAGAGAGAAACATCGATCAGCTGCCTCCTGCACACCTCCCACTGGGGATGTGCCCGCAACCAAGGCACATGCCCTTGACTGGAATCGAACCTGGGAACTTTCAGT